ATAGCTATCTTAGGACCACGCACCAGGACAACAACCGGTGCTCTACTCCACAACGGCTGATCCGAAACACCACAGACCGTGTCTACGTGTCCTGTAAATACCGAAATCAACCCTTTCCTGATGAAACCGCAGTCGAGGACCACAGAACGTAAAAATTAACAGTGTTCAACAAGCTATTCAAAAGCTGTTAGAAGCAGCCGTTTCATTTTCTTCTATTCGACAGAGAAATTTCATAAACACGCACTTATCACTGTTCGACGAGTTTCTTATTGTTTCTTATCACATGTTCAATGATTTGCGTACTACAGTTTACGTAGTGATCCTGTCTATGGATCGAAGTTAAGCATGTAATTCACACGAAAGCGCTGAACGACATAATCTTGGTTCAGGGAATTATAACTTTTCCAACAGTCAGAAAAAACGATCCATCAGCCTGCTGTGTATCTGTAGGCGAAGGAGTTAACCTTTAGGATGTTAACCAGGGCCATAAATAGATCGCGGCTTTAACAGGTTCTCTTTCGATACCGGATTGAAGCCGCCTAGTACCGTCCCCTTGCCTCTAATCGCCTAAGGGGTCATTTAAGCAGGCCACGGCTCCATGGTATTTGAGCTCCTGCCTTGCCTGGATGAAAAGTCGCATCGCTAGACAGGGCTGAAACATGCACCCGTTCAGATACATGCAAATATGCCACGATCCGTTGGCATATTTATTTAAAAAAAGTAATAACAGGATAACCAATCTCATTTGTTTTTATAGTCAGATAACTTACTACTCTGTTAAGACCAAATTTAACGTCGTATTTACTGCCCCATTGCCCCTCGTTGCCTATTAGGTCATTTAAGGAGGCCAAACCTCTGCGGTACTTGAGTTCCTACAGTATCAAATGCACCCTTTTGTTCGCTAAAGCACTCTCGCACTCACTATATGAGATGTTCCATGAGCTGGTACTTTTTATATGCTACAGCATAAACATCATAATACATTCCTGCGCTGGTCTATGTCAGATAACACCTAACTTCTTCAGGAACAAATTTCTGCAGTAGGATATGGAACACCAACCTTCATGTAACAATTTGATAAATAATAACTTGAAGAAATAATTATTGAAATCAGCATTTGTAATATGGTTGATTACTTGTTCTTCCTCACAAAATTTTATAGAGCATATCCGGTATGCAAGTTTTAGCGCTATTGACAAGTGGCCGTTGTCACTTCTCCGTTTCACAGGCCTAGGTCACACTGGACCCTTGCTTCTAATGGCGTAAGAGACCGTTTATGCAGAAAATAA